CGGAGGCTCAGTCATAATCAAGGTCGAGGGTCTGAAATATTTAACAACGGAGAATGAGATAAAATCTCAATAGGTAAACTACCTAAGCCTCGACTAGGGCAATACGTACCTCCGGCACCCTAATCATGCAATTCTAACAAATAGGTTAAGTTCGGGATAAGTACAGCGCAAGTGCCATAACTTTTGTACGGAGGACACTTAAGTGCCATAACTTTTTTTTGGCTCACTTGAGTGCCATAATTTTCAAAAAATGATCACCTAAGTGCCACTTACGAGCTGATCGTAAGGGCCGGAAACTGCGGCTTTTCCGGCCGAACGGTGACCTTCCCGGCGAGGCGAGCACCACCAGCTTGAAGAGGGGGTGTCGGTGAATCATTCCATGGCCTCCGTTAGTCTCGAAATTTCCGTTTTAGCCTCCGTTGACGAAGGTAAAAATGCTTCGTAGTCACACATTTATCGAGCCGATTTGTGTGACTACGAAGCATTTTTACCTTCATCAACGGAGGCTAAAACGGAAATTTCGAGACGAACGGAGGCCATGAAATGATTCACCGACACCCCCTCTTCAATCTGGTGGTGCTCGCCTCGCCGGGAAGGTCACCGATTGGCTTGAAAAGCCGCGGTTTCGGGCCTTCACGACCAACCCCTCTGACAAGCTGGTCGTGAGGGCTCGAAACCGTGGCTTTTCCGGTCGAACGGTGACCTTCCCGGCGAGACGAGCACCACCAGCTTGAAGAGGGGGTGTCGATGAATCATTCCATGGCCTCCGTTCGTCTCGAAATTTCCGTTTTAGCCTCCTTTGACGAAGGTAAAAATGCTTCGTAGTCACACAAATCGGCTCGATAAATTGTGTGGCTACGAAGCATTTTTACCTTCGTCAACGGAGGCTAAAACGGAAATTTCGAGACGAACGGAGGCCATGGAATGATTCATCGACACCCCCTCTTCAAGCCGGTGGTGCTCGCCTTGCCGGGAAGGTCACCGTTCGACCGGAAAAGCCGCGGTTTCGGGCCCTCACGATCAGCTCGTAAGTGGCACTTAGGTGATCATTTTTTTGAAAGTTATGGCACTCAAGTGAGCCAAAAAAAGTTATGGCACTTAAGTGTCCTCCGTACAAAAGTTATGGCACTTGCGCTGTACTTACCCCGGTTAAGTTCGTATCAAACGAACAATGGCACTACATACTATACAAAGTCTCGAATTGCATCACAACCATGGCATACTATCAATATGCATAACAACAATAATAATAATCCAGACATACTCAATCATTCACACGAGTCTCGATTATAAGATGAAATCACTTCGGCCCGTCCCATACCGTGCCTCACAATTTTATCCCATAATCAAGCGCCAAGCATGCCATTTGCACATAACACTCGAAGTTGTCCAGATTATTAACGACCCACCATAGGTCACACCGAACTCCCGCCGATCTTTCGGCATAGCCAGGCATCACCTCACTACTTTGGGCGTGGCAACGTCTGGGATCAAACCCCCCCCCCGACAAATTGGGTACTAGACGGCATTCCATGTAGGAGCATCGATCCGGCCTCCACCGCGATCAGCAATGTCTAGGATCAAACCCCCCGACAAGTCGGGTACCAGACAGCATCCGAACTTCCGCAAGGTATCGTCTAGAACTCGTCTTAGACGGAACTCATCATGGCCATACACTTAAACAACCACGCATTGCCAATTTTAATCTTCCTTAATTAGCCAATGCAAGTGTTTATGACGTGCAATTTACTACGAATAAATATGCCATGAATCGCACTTGTTTTCTTTTAAACGTCAATTTCAACCATACGATCTTTGTTCTAGGCCACAAAATCATCATTCCAACCACACGATCAAGCCATAGTCAACTACTCAGCCATGATTAAATAAATTAACCATACGATTAAACAATTTAACCATGCGATCGGCATTAAACAACTAATCCACCACACGATATAATCGACTAATTAGCCATGCGATGTCAATCAAAGCCACACGATCAACTTCAAATCCCTAATAAGCCATATGATCAAATTATATCACATCCTAATTTAATTTAAACCGTACGACCAAAATTAGCACATAATCATGTTAATTAAGCCCTAAAATTAACATTAACCAATCTAGAATCAATGGGGGCCATATGATCAATGTCCAAATCATCCAATTCAGCCACTACCACATGATTATTGCAGTCACAAGACTAACCCACGAATTTAATTAAAACAACCAATAAACAATCATAACCCACCTGCGCATGGCCAAGTTGGTGAGCGCTTTCCTTCCCTCAGAGAGGTTCTGGGTTCGAATCCCCGCTCGGTTCCGTAATTTAAGTGGGGGCCCTGACGGTGGGTTGCTGGGCTAGTCTCCCCCGAGGTATAGGCGCCCCGATTACCTGTGCGGGCTTGTCCCCGGGGAATGGTGGCGGATCCTCGGTTACCAAAAAAAAAAACAATCATAATTAGCCAAATTAAGCACAATTAGCAACATTAAACATATGCTCAAGCTCAAGTCATATAATCTACCTATCTTAACATTCAAATCAGCCATATAATCATCAAATCCAGCCACCAACAAATCCTCAATTCAGCTTCTATCATAATCCCTAAATTAACCCCTAAAATAACCCATAAATTACCCTAACAACCCCTAAACACTATTCATTGGTAACCTACTAACCTAATCAAGATTTAGGGAGTTACTTACCACTAATCTAAGCTAGAAACCAAGCCCAAACAGCAGCAGCAAGTCACAGCAAGATCTGGAATTTCCGGTGAACGACGGCGGCCAAACGGCGATCCGGCGAACGGCGGCTGATCCGGGCGTGAACGGCGGCTTGGGGCTGGCTCACGGTGGTCCACGGCGGTCCAGGGGTGGTGGTGTGAGGTGCAAGGGTGGTGGACGGCGGTGGTGAGTGAGTCTCGGCCAAGGGGGAGGGAGGGAGAGAGAGAGAGAGAGAAAAATGAAGAGAGAGAGAGAGAGCAAGGAAAAGTGAGGAGAGAGAGAGAGAGGGCTGAACATATCTCTCAAAATGGAGGGCTAGGATGAGTCTTTGGTACCAAAGTATTGATCTAAGGACTAGGAATGCATCTAGCAAAAAGGTTTCTAGAAGGGCAATTATGTAAATAACCAAAAAGGGCAAGGGCAAAGTTGTCCAAGAGGATTTTCGCCACTAGGGTAAAAGTACCATTATGTCCTTACACTCAACAAATAAACTCTAGAATACACGGGGGTAAAATCGTCTTTTCCAATTTCCGAGCCAATTTTCACTTTTTCGAGAATTTCTGGGTAAATCGATAACAAAGCGAGCTTAACGCGGCGACGTCCAATATAATAATTTTGATATCCTAGAAAGTTCGATACCCAAGTTCGGATTCCAATTCTTGGCCAAAATCGATCAAACGCGACTTTCGTATATCTCAAACTAACGGACGGCTTTTAGGGTTTATGCATGTCGACCCGTGGTTGATTTGATATCAATCCACGTTTAAGTTTACTCGAGCCATGGTGACTTCGGTTGTCATGTAATTACGAGGGTCAATCACTAGTTCCGAATTACACGATCGTTAGAAATTGATTTTGGAACGTTCGGAATGCATACAACGGTTAAACGGAATCACCCGTGACTCAATTGTATAACATTGTTAAATTGCTTCATAATCATTATTGGATCGGCCTATAATGGCCCAAAATATCCCCTCGTTAATCCTTTTGGTCGAAGTGTCGATCCAGGTTCGAGTTCTTGGGGTCGTGCGTACCGAAATCCTAACTAGTCATTCCCCAACGGTTAGTATTCTCAAGAATGGCCAATTCCAAGTGAGATATAACAGAAAGTGCATTGATAATAATATCATTTCATAAATCCCGAAAGTGGATCGAAATTCAGTCACAGGTGAACAACCAGCGCGGCTACCCTTGTGGGCGATAGAAGTTAAGGAGTCTCTTTGCATAAGTAACAAATTCACAAAGCACAAGTAAGTTAGAGATCCGCTCAGGACATTACTCGAATTTGTGACCTCCTGGAAAAAAGTACTCTTTCATCACCGAGCTACCAGGGACATTACCAAAAAAGTCCTAAACATATTTAACTTATTCTAATTCAATCATAAACCTTTCAATTTTGTAAATTTTGTCAATGTAGTCCTTTCAGCTAATTTTGGCCAGAAATTGCTGATGTAGATACTAGCATTGCCACGTCTGATGATCGACGCTGACATGGATAGTTTTTTATAAAAAAAAATTTTTCCTACCAATTTTGGCCGGTCACGGTGAGGGTTGACCGACCCTTGCCGGGCTTAGAGTAAGAAGGAAAGTTTCATTTTTAGACTCAAATTCAAGATATATTTTCAATGCATATGTTGATTGATATGCAGATTCATGAACTCCTGAACACCATCAGCTGGGGAATTCTGTTCCCGGTAGGCGCAATGATTGCAACATACTTGAGATTCCTAAGGTTGGGCGATCCATTCTGGTTCTATCTTCACGTCAACTATCAATTTTCTTCATACATCGTCGGAGTGACCGGCCAGGTAATAGGCCTCAATCTCGAGACCAAGTCTAAGGGCGTCGAGTAGTCTTCTCACCGGATATTTTCATGAATAAAAAAAGTTACAGAGACCCGAAAGCCATAATCACTTTAACTTTTATTGATGGGGAAGCGAGCTTTAATATTTGACTTTTGTAAATTTAACCTTAGTATATCAACTCAACGTTATGCTAAACCGGAGTTAACTTACAAAGAAGTCAGTTTTGCCTTGACAAAAATGGACGACAATTGTTATCAACAAAACATTGACCTTCGCCAGCGGACTTTGAAAACACGGCCCTTTGGAAATATGGTGCTCTGTACACAGGAAGTGGACGACAGCTCTTATGAAAACAACATGAACTTCTCAGAAATGGTCCAAGACAGGCTCGGCAAAAACTCATTAAACGAAGCGAGAGACTTCATATGTACCATGCACTGTTTTCACTGTTGGCGGTGAAACGTATGGACCACAATACATGGCTCATCTTCAACTCCGTGGCGTCGACATTGTTATATATAGCACTCTCATTCATTCTATATCTGTATACATTGTACAACCACAAAACAGTCAAGAGAACGCATGATGCTGCCCAAGGCCTCTCTCGTCTTCCTTCTTTTCCTAGTCCTTTCATCCAACACGATCATTTCTTCAAGAGTCGCCGACGCCCGCCAGATGAGCAACGGTGAGCACTATCTCTATGCATGCACGCATAAAGAGAAAGCACAAAACGTGGGTTGACTGGATAAACCGCGGACGTAATGATTACGAACAGTCGTTTTTGAGAGAAGCGATCACAGGGGATACAAAGGAAACCGATTCCGCATTTTGCAAGTGATGTTCTTTTAGAATTCGACGTTTGAAGATGATAATATCTAAACTGGAGACTAACTAAATGCACGTTTTCAGGAGGAAGCAACATCGAAAAGATGGCAGTGAGCAAGATTGCTGTTAGTGGAAGTAAATTTAGGGCGGACGGTATACATTACCCTTAGCATAGCTTTTCGAAGATCCTTCCTAAGAGGCCATGCCTGCCATAGGGAATCTTTCAAGTGATTCTCGATTATTAGTTTTTCTGTTCGGTTGCTCCTAATATTTGTTTGCTTTCTATACCCTCCATGGTTAATTAGGGTTTTCCACGTACTTTTGTTCATGGAGCTCAAATGATTTCTTTGAATACCCTGCGAATAGAAAGAATGTAAATTATTTGTTTATAGAATTGATATCCCTTTGCCTTTTCTCTTAATCTCAGTATCTTTATTTCACGCTCCCGATCACCATATGCCAAGTCTTATCTATTTGAGTAAAAATATGATATTCACAACCATTTTGTATATTCTTATTTGGCTTGAACCGATAGGAACGGACAGTATATTTCGAAGGAACCTAAAAGTTTTTCAAAGAAAGCATATAAATAGCCCATATGAAGAGGTGCGACTCTTACAAAACGGAATGTACTTTGATGGAAGGCACCTATTAATAGCCCATATAAATAGAGTCTAGTCCTCTCTCCACCCAAGAAGAACGAACATTGTATTTTATCCTCCATCAGATAAGATGCGTTAAGGGAACATTGTATTCTACGATTCTTCTATTTTTGCAACAATTATCTTCAAGAGCAACTCTATGGACAAATGTATGTCTTCATCCCTCTTATTGTGAAAATCATAAAGATCTAAGATCCTGGATTTCAGAATTTTTCCGCATAAAAGAATTACGTTATCGCTTACATGAACAAGTACTAACAAACCCACTAACCCATGGAATAGGTGTATGAACCCTTTACACCAATCCTACTGGTGTCTTACAAATGAAAAAGCTTCTCCACATGAATAATAAATTCCCAAAGCACAAGCTAATAAGTGATTCGCTCGCAACATAACTCGAATTTGTGATCTCATGAAAAACAAAATGACTCCATTATCACTAGGTTACCACACTCGATGATTCCGATGTGCTAGATTTATCACATCTCTTAAGCACCGCATAGTCTAGGATAAACAACTCCAACATATTCGCCAATTAACAAGAAAACTAAATCCGATGTAAGAGTAGACCAATGAGAAGCTTGTCAGCAATTTCGAAATGCACAAATGCCCAACCAGTTGGCACACAAATTCCCTTTTCAACAAACATGCCACAGTACAGTCGATTACTCTCGTGAATAAATCCTTATTTATGTCAACAAATTGTCACGTTTAAATTATTTTTTTTTTTTGTTTGGATAATGGTATGGAGGGTTCTTGAACTTTTTCAATTTGTGCAGTGTCGTCCTTAGACCTTTTTTTGAATGAATCGGATCATTGAACTTCATTTTGTTTGTTCATGCTAGTCCTTCCATCAAATACTTGGGCAAAATGCTGAGAGAACATCTATGTCTTCGTTAAGTTAGTGCTGTCGCTTCAAATAGTTGCCGATATCGAATAAGAAAATAGAAAAAACGGACACCAAAAATAAAAAATAAAAAAGGAAACTACACAAAGTCAAAAAAGAGTGAGGGGGAGGTGGACCTTGGGCAGTAGGGGCCGCAAGAGCAGGGGCAATAGTGGCGACAAGCCACCGTTGAGGGTCTAGCATCCGTTGTTGGTGGCCGGGCATCGTCACCGCCTCTAATCACCCACAAAAGCGCATATTCGGACTGAGAGAGGGTTGGACAGAGATACTTAGGCGAGTTCAGATTGACCTCGCCACCTTGTTCGTCTTCGTCTACAGATTTGATCCCGCTCATCTTTGTCCCTATAGGTGGCGACAAGGGTGGCTGAACCTCGTCCATGATTGAATGAGGGTTTCCAAGATCTGGGAAGGGGGCTACGACGATGTGTGTGTATTGAGAGAGAGAGAGCGCGCGCATAGACTACAGACCTCGTTGACTCACCAGCAATGACAAGGGCCAACCCTTGTCGGTCCCGTGGCATTGGTTCATGAGGGTCTGCAGCCCCATCGGCTAGTGGCGAGGGTCTATGGCCTTCCGCGCCATTTTCGCCATCCTCCTCTGCCAGCATCCTCTTCTGCAGGTTTATTTTTTATTTTTTCTTTTCAAAAAACATCAATTTCACATATCTTTCAATTTTAAAAATTTATGTAAGCCACATGGGCACCACGTTGGCAATACGAGGCTGCTACATAAGCACTTAAGTGCTATTTGACTGTCATATCAGCATTTTCAACAAAGAGTGACGGAAGGATTAAAATTGCAACAATCAATGAAAAAAAGTTTAGAAATAATATTGCATTAATCGAAAAAGTTCAAAATTACCAATGCCATAATCACGTTTTCTTGAGGAAGCAAGCTTTAACATATCGTTTTGTAAATTAATCTTAATATATCAACTTTATCCTAAAATTAAGTCGATTCATTTATTTATGCCACAATTAAATCAAGTTGATTTATTCGCCATTGACCTTGACTTCCTCCTCGTCCTTTCTTTTCATTTTCTTTTCTAAACCTATTCTTGCAAGATCGAGTTCAGCTCAGACGGAAACAACTCGGATTGATTGAAGTGAGAAGCAAGTTTAAAATTGTGCCTCGAAGCACCCAATTCAAAAACTCTTGTATGCACTCGGAGTACGTGAGTTCATTCTATTTCAGCCATCGAACTATAAAGGGTTTCACACGGGATACAAATGATATAATGATTGGAATGAAGTGCGTTCACATAGACCAGGGTAGATGCAATTCTTGCTTGCGACCAATTTGCCGGGTCCACCACGTGTAGTGCACCCATTGGTCCAAGAAAGGCTCGTAAAAAAACTCACTTAATAAAGCGATTCTTTCAAAACAAAAAGGATGCTTATCCGTGTTTCAAAGTCGATCCATGGCGAAAATACCTGGCATAACTTCAACACCATGTGGTCGATGTATTATTATATATGGCACTCACAGTCCTTTTGTGTATAATCATATGTTCAAAGAGTACATCGTACGACCACACATTGATTAGAGAAAGAATGATGCTTCACCAAGGCGCCTCTCCTCTTCGTCCTTTTCCGAGTCCTTTCCCCTCACATGATTATCTCATTGAAAGTCGCCGCCTCTGCCCGCCCGATAAGTAACGGTAAGCACTTCGATATCCATGGATCCGTGCGAAATGAGAAAACACAAATCATGGGTTGGCCGAATAAACCACCGACATAATGGTTAAGAACAGCTGCTCTCAAGGAGAGTGATAGTAGGTGATACGAAAGAAATCGATTTCCCATTTCGAAAGTAATGTTCTTTTAGAATTCGAGGTTTGAAGACACTATTGTCAAAATTGAAGACTGACTAAATGCACGTTTTCAGGAGGGAGCAGTTGTGGAGAGATGGTGGTGAGTAAGATTGAAGCTTATGGAAGTACACACCCAAGCGTGACCGTTCATGCTATACCGGTTGCTCCTCATATATGTTGGTGTTGTAAAGAAGAAGAATTCACCTTCTATTCTCTCCATGATTAATTAGGGTTTTCCTCATACTTCTTCTCTTGGAGCTCGAAAAATTTCCTTATATACACTGCCAACGATGAAAAAATTTAGATCGATTGTTTGTTGAATCAATATCCCTATGCCTTTTCGCCAAATCTCCAAGACGTACTCAAAGAGCTCAACCTACCAACCAAAATGGCATAATTTACCATGACTTTCTGAAAAATCATTTGACGGAACATTGATGGAGGATAATTGTGTCGCAAAGTACAAGTGTGGATTTTTTTGGGGTAAATGTGTCACAGTGGTCATAATTTGAGATTTTTAATGCCACAAAAAATGTTCAAAGTAAATGTATCGGTATCACAATGAGTATAGTTTGAGATTTTTTTTCACTTTTTCCCAAAATGAAAATGAAAGAGAAATTACAGAGAGTCAAAATAGAGTAAGGGGGAGGCGAACGTTGGGCAATGGGGCGCAACGTTCTTTGGGAACGCCATTTCCACCATCATCCTCTGTTGAAGGTTCTTTTCTTCTTTTTGGTTTGCAATTTTTTTCCTTTTCAGAAAAATTAACTTCATATATCATAAATTTTAAATTTTGTAAAAGACACATAGGTGCCACGTTGGGTATAGGTGACTGCCACGTGAGCATTTCCGTCTAAGCATCTAATGGAAGGATTGAAATTGCAACAATCGGACGTGTTCAAGAGCCCAATTGTAAAAAATCATTCATAACGACATTGCACGGATCGAAAAAGTTCAGGACCATAATCAATCTTTCTTTGAATGATGAGGAAGCCAACTCTAATACGTGACTTTCGTAATTCAATCTTAATATATCAACGTTATCCTAAATCAGAATCAACTAAAAAGGGATAATGGCACAAATGTGCCAAAAGTTAAGGAACAATATTGCACATTGGATTAAAGTTCAAGGACCACATTGAATAAATTAAAAGTTAAGGGACCACATTGAACAAATTATAAGTTCGTACGTACGTAAGTCTCATTTTGTTAGGTGAGCTTTGACCAGCCTCTCTTGAATCATTTCCTCGAAGCTTATGTTTACAGACACAGTGAGACTTTTGAATGACAATGCGCACGGTTATCGTCAACTCCATGTGGTCAACATTGTTTTATATAGGGATAATGGTACAAGTAATCCTTGAACTTTGGCCCAACATGCAATGCGGTCCCTGAACCTTTAATTTATTCAATGTGATCCTTGGACTTTTGGTACATGTTTTCAATGTAGTCCCTCAACTTGAATTAATGGAAGGGCTACATTCAATATTTCCATATAGTTCAGAGGCTAAATTGAACATGTATTAAAAGTTCAAGGGCGATATTAAACAAATTAAAAGTTCTGGAAGGGCTACATTCAATATTTCCATATAGTTCAGAGGCTAAATTGAACATGTATTAAAAGTTCAAGGGCGACATTAAATAAATTAAAAGTTCGGAGACCACATTGCACGTTGGGTTAAAGTTCGGGGACCACATTACACATTCAACCAGAGTTCGGAGACTGTTTGTGTCATTTTCCTTTGTATATAGCAGTCTGGTTCATTCACTGTTTACTCGTTCATTATGGAATCATAGAGTCGAAGAGTCCATGCATAGTGCGACCATTCATTGATTAGAGAAAGAAGGATGCTTCCCAAGCCCTCTCTCGTCTTCCTTCTTTTCCAAGTCCTTTCATCTCACATGATTATGATTGTCTCTTCGAAAGTTGCTGCCGCCCGCCCGATCCATAAGGGTAAGTACTTTCATCTCCATAGATGCATGCAAGATGAGAAAACGCAAATCATGGATCGACCGGATAAACTACCGAC